CGGCGAAATTTTGAGATATACGTTTTATAGTGAGATCTAACAGAAGTGCGGATACCAAATTTGGTTACTCTAGCAATAATAGTCTCTGAGATTTGTGGATGCCCCAGATTTTCGTCCTTTGCGGGGGCGGAAGGGGGTGTGGCGAAATTTGGACACGAAACGGTCAAGGTCCGATATCACAGGAGTGTGGATACCAAATTTGGTTGCTCTGGCTCTTATAGGTTCTGAGATCCTTGAACTGCAATTGGCAAAAGCGACCATGAAACCTGTGTGTTAGAGAGAGACAGAGCGAGAAAGAATGAAATTGTTTTCTTGATTCTGGCTATAATAATTATACGATCTGGTTCAGATTTTGCACTCTAGAAGATATAGTCATCTTCTACGATTTTTTTTTTTTTTAGTTTTTTCGTATCGTCGAAATTGTGGATGCCACAGATTTTCGCTCTTTGTGGGGGCGAAAGTGGGCGGGGCAAAGTTTTGAAATATTCTTGTAGCAGTGACATATCACAGAAGTCTGAATCCAAAACATCGTTGCTCTAGCTCTTATAGTCTTTGAGCACTAGGCGCTGAAGGGGACGGACAGACGGATGGACGGGCAGACGGACAGACGGACGGACGGACAGACGTACAGACGGACATGGCTCAATCGCCTCGGCTATTGATGCTGATCAAGAATATATATACTTTATAGGGTCGGAAACGATTCCTTCTGGACGTTACACACATCCTTTTTTACCACAAATCTAATATACCCCAATACTCATTTTGAGTATCGGGTATAAAAACCACAAGGAGGTCCTGGACCACACGCTTGCCTCTCATGAGATGGAGGGGAACATTGTTACCTGGAGGGTCCTGGAAAAACACTCCTTCTCGGACCACAGTAACATGGAAACTGTATTCTCCTTTTCATTAACGAAGCCAGTTCAATTCCGGACCCGCAGGCGGACAAATTGGACTCGGTACTCTGACTGCCTTTGTCGTGTTCTCCCTGAGTCCCCACCTGAGGAGGAGAGCTTCACCGACGCCTGCATTAAAGCGCTCGATAAATCCTGCCCCTCTGGCAAGAACAGAGGCCGGAAGAAACCTGAATGGTAGACTCCGAAACTGGGCGAACTCCGGAAAGCTCCGGAGACTCTTCAATAAAGCTAAGGCTGAAAACGTTGAGCAAAACTTGGCCGATTACAAGGCCAGTCTGTCAACCTACAACAAAGAACTATCGAAAGCCAAACGCGCCTCTTGACGTAAGTTCTTTCGAAGACTACACCCAGACTGGGCTACTTGAAGAATGTCGACCAATCTTGAACCACGTCCAGCGATGAGTCGCTAAATCTGCTCCTTAATACTCACTACCCTGGCTACGATAAAAACAGACCCATATACTGCGCGCCGTCTTCTGTCGGCTCAAATGCCATCCTGAACCTGCTAAGCCAGGAGAACATTTTCTGGTCGATCAAAAGCTTCAAACCATACAAGTCTGCGGGGACAGATGGCATTATCCCTGCCCAACCAAAAACCATTAATTGGCTCAAAATAATTAACGAGGGAATATTCTCCCACGGGTGCATCCCGGCATGCCTTTCGGAAGGGTGAAGACCACAGGGCGGAGTCCTCTCGCCCCTCTTATGGAACGTGGCAGTGAACGAACTGTGGGTGCATAACAAGTAATCGCACGACGATTTAGAGATGGGCAGACAAATGCAGGCCGTCAAATGTCAACCCGTCTAAAACGGATAGAGGATAGAGTAAAGAATGCACAGTGCACAGTGGACAGTGGACAGTGGACCTCTATACATGCAGGAAAGCAATCGGACTAAAATAGGGAATGGCCCCGTATATAGTTCGGAAGCTATACACCGCCATCACACGACCAATGATGCTCTATAGAGTGGTAGTATGGTGGCCAGCCCTAGACAAAAGAACTTGTTTCAACAGACTCAGTAGAGTTCAACGCATGGCATAGCTATGCGTAACTGGCGGGCTACGCACTACTCCAGGGGAAGCCCTGGATATTTAGTATTTTGCTGTATGACCAATATTTTTGAAATTTTTGCATCTCATACGGTAATGGATACATTATTTGACACAAGCGGTGTGCCATGTAATTTGAATTATTCCTGGTAAGTTATAGAGGTACAAAATAAGCTGGATTTCTCCAGTGGGTGTAGCTTTGCCATCGACTTGGCGAGTGTATTTGAAAAATGTCGACTGCTCTTTGGGCTTAATGTTCTTTTAGAATCTCGTCGTTTGAAATATAATTGTGTGATGGACCTATTTCCGGCTGAGGTAAGCTCAGTTACGTCCAAGGTCAATCCACAAGAATTTTATAGATGGATGGAACCTTAACGGAGGCGTTGTGGTTGGCCTGTGGCAAAGAGATTGAAGCGGGGCCTGGTCGAGAGTCACTTGTGGTGTGCGTCGAACGGTGCTTAGGGACGTAGAGTGGAATAGTGCCAGAGCCTCGACCCTTTGTAATGACCTACGCTGTTCGTATTATTTAAAAACTTGGTTTGGCTTTTATTCGTTTCTTCGTTTGTTATTATGTTTTTGGTGAGTCCGAGTTACTCTGCGGGGTAACGTCTAGACTCGGAGCTCGGATTTTGCCGATTTGGCGGTTGTGGGTTGACCTGGTTTATTCCACTCCGACTTAGGGTCCGTTGGTGCTCGTCGTGGTCTTCCTAGGTGTGTCATCGTCTTCGCGGTTGATGAACCTGGAAGACTGCACCTGATCGGTTGCTCGGACCGGAGTGGAGGATCCGCGTGACCGGGTATTATTAGTCGTCACTTTATGGGGTATTCTCTTGGCGGCGAGTGAAAAAGTGGGGGATGTGGTGTCTTAAATGTTGTTAAGTGTTCTTAGTCGGAATTCGCGTTGGGGTCGGTGTTGTAGACCCGTTTAGGTTCGTTACAATTGAGGTTTGGAGCATAAACAGAAGATACGAGAAAACTAACTAGCCAGAATAATCTGGAAATCTGGATCAGATCGGATAATGATTATTATTACGCCGGAATGAAAATATTAATTTTCAATGGCTACACAACGCCGTTCACGCGCTTACTCATTTTCATTATCTCTCTCCCCCTCTCTCCCTCTCTCTCTATCTATCTCACTCTCACACACACTCTTCATCGTGCAGTATGCACTGACTTATTGTAGGGCAGAATGAAATTGTACACGGCGGACTCATCAAGAGCCGAAGCTCGTTCGTGTTGTACCTTATCGTCAGTGCATGCTTGCTTGTTGATGCGGATAGTGTTGGGTAAACGTTACTCATGAGCAACACAACACTATTCACGGACGAAAAAAAATTACATATTGCATATTAGATTATATAAATAGCATAAAAAAAAACGAGGGGGAACGTTGTGAGTTGCTGCGGACACCGCAACTCTACAGTTATACCCGATACTAAGTCAGTATGGCTTTCCTCCGGCAGACGCCGCTAATATTAAACGACACGACAAAGAGTGCGTGCGAGAGAGACAGAAAATCAGTCTGAGCGTGACGTCGGGCGCTGCGTAGCCACTGCAAATTGATTTGTTCCTTTTGGCTACAAAAATTATCTGATCTGATCCAGATTCAGCAATCTGATAGATATGGTCGTTATCTATGATTCTCCGTTTTTAGTTTTTCTCGAATCTGCAATATTGTGGATGCAACAGATTTTCGTCCTTTGTGTGGGCGGAAGGGGGTGGGGCGAAATTTTGAGATACACGTTTCATAGTGAGATCTAAGAGAAGTGCGGATTCCAAATTTGGTTACTCTAGCGTTAATAGTCTTTGAGATTTGTGAATATCCCCAGATTTGCATCCTTTGCGGGGGCGGAAGGGGGTGTGGCGAAATTTTGAAACAAACTCGTCTCGGTCTGATATATTAGGAGTGTGGATACCAAATTTGGTTGCTCTAGCTTTTATAGTCTCTGAGATCTAGGCGCTAATGTTTTACTCTAAGCAAAGCCGCCTATGCTACCTGTGTGTTAGAGAGAGACAGGGCGAGAAAAAATGAAATTGTTTTCTTGATGCTGGCTATAATAGTAATACGATCCAATTCAGATTCTGCAGTCTAAAAGATATGGTCATTCTCTACGATTCTGCGTTTTTTGTTTTCTCGTATCTTTAAAATTGTGGATGCCACAGATTTTCGCCCTTTGTGGGGGCGGAAGTGGGCGGGGCAAAGTTTTGAAATATTTTTGTAGCAGTGACATATCACAGAAGTCTGGATCCAAAACATCGTTGCTCTAGCTCTTATAGTCTTTGAGCATTAGGCGCTGAAGGGGACGGACAGACGGACAGACGGACAGACGGACGGACGGACAGACGGACAGACGGACAGACAGACATGGCTCAATCGACTCGGCTATTGATGCTGATCAAGAATATATATACTTTATGGGGTCGGAAACGATTCCTTCTGGACGTTACACACATCCACTTTTACCACAAATCTAATATACCCCAATACTCATTTTGAGTATCGGGTATAAACACAAAGAATTATAAGCAATATTTATATATTATGTAAAAGAACATTTTAATATTACTAAAAATTTTGAAGCAAAATTATTAATGGCTGCACAAAATTTAAATATTTCTGTATCAGTAAAATCATTTTATTTTAAAATTGTAAACCCCACGGGCCTGTTAAGGGTTAATCAACATCAACATATGCCGTCTCACTCACACTCACTATACTATGTGTTTTTCACTCGCACTAATTGCTAGGGTATAAATTTAAAATCGCGGCCGTAGCTGCGCCACACAACGTTCCTTTTCGTAAAAGGCACTAAACTTTTCTTTTCACTGCGCTTTATTTACCGACTGACAATTGTACTACAAAGTTGCATTTTATTAAAAATCGATAGATATCGAATAAATGCAAAAATTGCAATGATAGGTCAAAAGTTATCGTTACTCAGCAAAAACAGCAAGCACTGGCAAAAAAGCGACAGCATATTACATTACAAAGAAAAAGAATTCAATTGGAATTGCACAAACAAAGTCGGCCTTCATAAAAGTGTACAAAGCAACTGGGCTAATACATCAGAGAATATTCCTGAAAGGAGCTCGTCCAGATCCAGTTAAAGAAAGTTAAAGAATTCACGCAAATCCAAGAAGTTTACAATGCATCCTTTTACTTATGCCATATCCGTGGACTTCGAGGCCACCTGCTGGGAAAATCAACCGGCTCAACAATTTAGATTGTCGGAGATAATTGAGTTCCCAGCCAATTTGGTCAATCTGAAAACGGGAATGGTCGAGGCGGAGTTTCACAAGTACGTGATGCCCGTGGAGTCGCCGCAACTGAGCGAATACTGTACCAGTCTGACGGGCATTCAGCAGAAGACTGTGGAGGCGGGAGTGCCACTGCAGACGGCACTCAATTCCTTTATCGAATGGCTGAAGAAGGAATTGAGCGCCCGCAACCTGGTGCTACCAAAGATGAGTATGACCAATCCACAGGGAAACTGTTTCTTCGTCACCTGGACGAACTGGGACTTTGGAATCTGTCTGGCCAAGGAGTGCGCACGCAAGAATATACGTAAACCAACCTGCTTCAATCAGTGGATAGACGCGAGGGCCATCTACAAGAAGTGGTACAAGTATTGTCCCTTCAGCTTCAACAATGCCCTGGAACATGTGAGGCTGACCTTCCAGGGACGTGCTCACTCCGGCATGCATGATGCCAAGAATCTGGGCAGTCTCATTTGCAAGATGTTTCGTGATGGAGCCCCCTTTTCGATCACCAAGGATCTGACACCACATAAGGAGCTCAACGAGAACCGTGGCTTCTGAGCTTAAGCGGTCAGCCATCAGCCATTAGCCATCCCAGCCAGAGCCAAAGCCCCCCAGCCAGAGCATAATAATCCATTTGTTTTTTGGACTATGTTTAATATTCAACGCCACAGTAACCCAAGGACACTAATGCTGACTGAGAGATGGGCCCAATTTAAACACAAATGTAAACGCCAAATAAGTTTATTGTTTTTTTATTATCTACATAATTTCATTTGACAGAAATAACGACTTGACATTTGAAGTGCATCGCCATCGCAGCAAAGCCCCAGCACCTGCATCTGGATATCAAAAGCCAGCAAGAAAACCACAACACTAAAAATCCACTCATTCTATTGGGTGTAGAGAATGATTATGAGTTTTGCATAATCTGAACACAAATGTAAACGCAAAATAATTATCTTGTTTTCTTTTTTATATTTTATCAAATCTCTTTAACAGAAATTAAATTGATGTGCAACGCAATGACAGCCGATCGCCTGCCAGCAGCCATTAGCCATCCCACCAAAGCAGAATGAGCCAGAACACAAAAAAAGCCATTTATATATTTGATTATATTTAATACACTACAATTCTGAAACCACACCAAATAACATGGAAGATGGCTAAGAGTTGTCCCTTATGTGAACACAAAGGTAAACACTAACGAGGGGGAACGTTGTGAGTTGCTGCTGCGACCGAAACTCTACATTTATGCCAGAAGCTTAGTCAGTATGGCTTTCCTCCGCCAGACCGAACGACACGACAAAGAGTGCGTGCGAGAGAGACAGAAAATCAGTCAGAACGTGTCGTCGGGCGCTGCGTAGCCACTGCAAATTGATTTGTTCGGTTATAATACTAATCCGATCGGATTCAGATTCGGCAATCTGGTAGATATGGTTATTCTCTATGATTGTTCAAAATTGTGGATGCCACAGATCTTCGTCCTTTGTGATGGCGGAAGAGGGTGGGGTGAAATTTTGAAATACATATCACTAGGTGCTCATAGAGAGGGACAAACGGACGGACGGACAGACAGACATGGCTCTATCGACTCTCGACTATTGATGCTGATCAAGAATATACATATATACTTTTTATGGAAGGGGGGGTATAAAAAATGCTCTTTTTTTGTTATGTATTTTAACTAATTTCTTTTGACAGCAATTGATATGAATTTCAATTTTATGTCCATCGCAATCTCAGCTACCACATCTACATCGGAATCTAAACACCTACAAACGTACGAGTACATCTAATCATAGCAATGAATATGGCCTTATAGCATATACATTTTGCTACTATTCATACTTACTAATTCCCAAATGGGAAAGCTAGAATAGCTCGATATTTTGTCGAAACTAAGTTAGAGAAATTAAGAAAAACGAGGCAACCAAATTGTCATAGAATTGGAGTTTAGATATAGCCCAATGCGAATATTGAATATATGTACATATATCTAAGTAGGATAATGTTAGTGGAGTTTTTAGTGGGAACAATTGAGAGACTTGACTTATCTCCTTCGAAATGTTCTGTGCCGCATTTTCCAGTCTGGCCTTGAATCTAATCCCCTATTCAAGTCGGAGCATCTACAGAAGAATGCGGATTCAAGATGGAATTTGCTTGCATCCCTTAGCCAAGTTGTGAAGTGTCACTTAGAGGAAGTGTTGGAAACAGGGAGACTTGCTCCATACCCTGGGCCATACCCTGGGCCTCTGTTCGGTTGGTGACCGACGCCTGCGGTTCCTGAGGGCTTCTACGAGTATTCATATTCCAAAGAATCCGAAATGCCTGAAAAGAAAAAGAATTTTTCAGTGGTAAAGGGTAAAGATGAGAAGAATGCCTGTAATGACCTAGTGACCGCCGCAAAAGTTCTGTCGGCTGTACAGGACTCAATAGGCTCGTCATATTGCGACTCAGCCTTCCCCACGTAGTGCATATGGTGGGTTTTTCAGACGATGTGGCTGTTCTAGTGGTGGGAAAACTCTTGGAAAAGACTTGGAGAAGACTTGCAACCAGACAATAGCGCGTATTCAACAGTGGCTGGAGAGGATCGGGCTCGAACTCGCTCCACACAAGACCGAGGCAGTGTTGGTGCCCAGCCTAAAGAAAGCTGAGACAGTCCTGCCACGGTCATATCTCTGCCATGGATGCTGGCTAATGGTAGTCGGGCGGAGTAAAGAAAACTCTCAATGAAATTACCCCAATCTATGCCTAATTTGTTATGGCATACCTGCATATTGGTAAATTTGCTACCGCGACGGGGCCAGAGGCGGTGGTGAAATTTGTTGCCGATAAACTCAAGATGCCGGAGGAGGAAATTTCTTGCGTGAAATTGGTTAAGCGAGATGCTGATCTATCTGCGTTATCTGGTGTTCCCCGTGGTCTTTGATGCTAGATTCTGGCCAGTATCGGTAAGGGTTTCGCGCTTAGACAGAGGCCTGATGAGGAAGCTCATTTGACGGCAATTAAGCTGTATGCAGCTGTGCCACTGCGGACGTCCACGCAGGCTCAGAAAGCTCCAGGTTCATCCACTTCAAAAAAAACCCCAGTGAAACCCCTTTGGTTTTATGATCGCCGCTTCTCCACAAAATATTCTGCTTGCACTTTTTTGACGAAGAGTCAGCAGCCCGTCGTGCACTCTTATGTGGAACACTCTTTAGCATCATCACCTAGATTGGCTCTCCCTGCCCAATCTTCTGGACGAGGATGGTGTGCTGCTATTTCAGACTCCGGCACATAAGCAGGTTTCAAGCATGGGTCTCGGCCCTTTGGTTCAGTGGGATATGCCTGAACCTCCTCTGGATCCATCTTCCGTGGCCACTAACAGGACGGCACCGCCACTTTCTGTGACCGTGCCGATGGACGGTGCCAAGACTCAGGCTGTCAGCTTGGCTACCTCTACGTGTGACTTCGACGTTGTCATTTTGTTTGAAGCCTGGCTCAATTCAAGCTTTTTCGACAACGAATACTTCGATCCTAACCTTTTCCAGGTGTTTCGTAAGGACAGAGATTGTGCCAAGACGAAGCGCTGCAGAGGAGGTGGGGTCATTGTGGCCGTCAGACACACCCTACTGGATGGTGACTCTGTTCTGTATCAGATTGGTGTGGCGGTGGCTGGCCAGTCGGAGACGCTATTAGCGCATCGTACCCCAGCAGTACTGGGAACTAGTTCGGAGGTGGTGATATCACCACTCCCTAAAAGACCAGGGGTACTTTCTTTACTAACCCTTAACAATGCTTTTCATCATTTCCATTTTTACCCGCAATGTCCTACGACATGGGGACCAGCGATACCACATCGTTTACCCCCGAACAAGTGCTATGTGTACTCGTCCAGTAGAAATGAGTAACCATGTAGTAGCTAGTGATGAAATGGATACCCATGAAGTAGCTAGTGAAATGGGTACCCATGAAGTACGTTATCAATCTTCATTTCTTTTATTATATATTTCATTTTAGTTTTTAAATTTACTAATTAAGGTCTGCGGTTCGCGGTGGTACTGTTTTTGAAAAAACGTTTTTATTTGCAGCTGTAGGGCCTTCCTAATCTGGACTTCAGCTGATCCAGTCCCCGTATCTACAGTTATGGCATCTATAAACATAAAATACAGATATAATAGGCATAAGAAAAAACCAAAAAGCAAATAAGCCTACCAATCAAAACTCTAAAGAAGTTCTTTAAATTTTTCAGTGTCACTTTCCTATTTCGCGGCCTTCAACTTTTTCTATTTCACCGCACAAAACTGTTTCTCCGCTAACACGATTATGTTTGGCTGCATATTTGTCTTATATTTCTTTATTGAGCCTACGCAAATGCCGTTTGCTATACATTTGCTGTGACTTACTGTTTAAAATTGAATAATTATAATCACTTGGACAGTCGCACTGATTTGCACAAACGCCAAACGCAAAGAACATTCCAGCATCATTTTTAGCTACCTGGTCTCTTCATTTTTTGTCTCTTCTTTGAGTGGTTCGGCGTTCGTTTACCATAGGGTTAGTCCGGAAAGTACCCATGTAGGAACCAGCCAAATCAGTAGTTCGGGCATGGTCAATCGCCACCGCCAGTACTAGAGGGACATTCCACCGAATAGCTGTCACACACTCAAAACATTGCTAAAATATATGTTATGGTATTCTGCGAGACCGTCAGCACCTCTGCGTTGTTGGCGACTTCAATTTGGGTTCGTTGATATGGTCCGGCGATCCGCACTCGTCGGCTATGATACCAAGCAATGTACATTTGCCGCACGAGATTCTCTTGCTAGATGATTTTTATACCCGATACTCAAAATGAGTATTGGGGTATATTAGATTTGTAGTGAAAGTGGATGTGTGTAACGTCCAGAAGGAATCGTTTCCGCCCACATAAAGTATATACATATATTCTTGATCAGCATCAATAGTCGAGTCGATTCAGCCCTGTCTGTCTGTCCGTCTGTCCGTCCCTATCAGCGCCTAGTGCTCAATGACTATAAGAGCTAGAGCAACGACATTTTATATCCGGACATCTGTGATATGTCACTGTTACAAATATATTTCAAAACTTTGCCCCGCCTATCGTGAAGGATGACTGTATGGTCTACAATGTAAAATCTGAACCAGATCGTACAATTATTATAGCCAGAATCAAGAAAACAATTTCATTGTTTCTCGCTCTGTCTCTCTCTCTAACACACAGGATTCATGGTCGGTGTGCGGTCAAACTCCTTTAAGGAGCAAAGTACTCAAATGACCCTCGTAAAATAGAGAGCCTACGCTCACTTTTTGTATATACTCTCACCATGATTGTACTAAATTCACCACTGTATTCTCTCTCTTATGCCCAGTACTCAAGCACTAAGATTTGTAATAAATAGTTATTGCCTTATGCTCAACTGGATCGATCGACTTTTCTCTTGTATATCTCATGTATAGACTTTGCAGAAAAAACTAACACACCCCCATCCGTGAATTAACATTAATGCGGAAAACACTCCGTTTATAAACATTTTGGCGCCCAACGTGGGGCACGTGTGTTATGTTAATTCTTCTGTGAACAATTAAACTAATCGCAATCTACAAAGGCAACAATTACAACATTCGCTCGTCTCGCAGCTGCAATCGAAAGTTCCTAAACCGTATCAGAATTGTTCGTCTCGATCGCGGGTTCATTGTTCTCGCCTTGCTCTCGCCGTTCTCCCTTAATTTTATGATTCGCTTGTCACCCACAACGCATTCAACGGCGCTTGCATTCTCGGTTCGTTCGCTTTGCAGCTACCTGTTTTGGTTGAACATCTTAGAAACGTATTTCAAGAATGTTTTAAATGTCCAAGCTAATATTGAAGACCTTAGTCCGAATGATGAAGGACGGGCAGATTTGGAGGATACATACATAGCAATCAAGCTATCCATAAAGGAAACGAGGGGGAACGTTGTGAGTTGCTGCGGACACCGCAACTCTACGGTTATACCCGATACTAAGTCAGTATGGCTCTCCCCCGCAGACGCCGCTAATATTTAACGACACGACAAAGAGTGCGTGCGAGAGAGACAGAAAATCAGTCTGAGCGTGACGTCGGGCGCTGCGTAGCCACTGCAAATTGATTTGTTCCTTTTGGCTA